CCATCTTCACTGTACAATTTGTCACTTGATTGACATACAGGTTTATCCAATCTAAGACAACCTTTTCTGACACATAGGTTACCATGCATGCACAAACAGCGATGTCCATAATTGACATACAGGGCAGCCAATCAGAGACTGGATCTTTTCTGATGCATAGATCACCACGCATGCACATTCAGCCGTGCTAAAAACAAACTAGTTGACTTGTAATAGCCTCTAGCCTTGAGTTCCACTCAAGAAAGTGTGTAAAATGAGTTGGGTAGCTAGACCAAGTAAGAACCAATAAACCTACCATTTCCATACGGAATGGGGGAGGACTTTTTTTTCACGATGTCATATGTGAAGTGCGTTTGCCTCATCTGCAAGTGTACCAGAGCTGCATTTTCCGACTATATTCATAAATATTATGGCTCTGACTTCCTTTCGAAAAGTGAGCTGAGAAAGAAAAAGGTGAAGGAAGTAAAATCCCAGTTATCTGGACAGCAGTCATTTTTCTTACTGCTGACCACAGCAGCAAAACATTGTTCCGGGTGAGTCACTTTAATAATTGTTAGGCACAAGAAGTCTTTTCAAGATGGACAGATGGTAAAAGAGGCATTCATTGAAGCAGCTGACTCGTTGTTCCGAGACTTTAAAAACAAAGCAAATCTATTATCTTCCATCAAAGCTCTCCGGGTATCAAGAAATACGATTATGATTAAAAGCCAGCTGCTGTCAGGGCTACAGTCGGGGCAGAAGTTTCCACTTTTGTTCTCAAGTTTTCAGGTTATTTTTCAAACAAGAAGTTATTCTTGTTGTTTTCTTTTCTTTTGTGTGAAAAACAGAATGTATTGTTGGGCTTTGTTTATTATTTTGTACGCAGATAGTAAAAATAAATTGTCACTTTATTTTTTTAAACAAACTTATGAGTTTTGTCATTTATGTTGCTTCCACAGCAAGCTGGGACGTATTCATTCATTCAACCTTTATTTATACAGGTTTGTCTCATTGAGTCAGACAACATATAAAGTACAGACAGCCATCAGTGTGCTAATGATCCATTGTTAGGCTGATGGTCCTTCTTAACCATGTGAGCAGCTGGTTTTGGTTGTCAGCAGCAAACTGGTTGATCCACTCTGAGAAGGTGCTATTTAAGAGACTGAGCTGAATACAGCACCTCAGATTGAGGAAGTCTTTCGGATGAGAGACGAAACGTTTCTACATTTTTTTTGCTTTGTTTTGGTTTTTTTTGAATGTCCAGAGGACCAGAATTTACTTTTTTGGATTTTTCTACCTGGATTATTGAGCATGCATCAGGATATCTGGAAGGCTCCCTCCTCTTTTCGCTCTCTGCACTTTCAGAAACGGCTCGACCTGGTCCGAGACCAGGTGGCTGCTTCTTGGCACCGGGTACGAAGCAGTCCCACAGAAAGGAAAATGTTTCAAGGTTCAAGATAAACATGATAAACATATCTGCTTTTCGATGACTTCTACAATGATCAAATTATATCATACTGACATAATTACAAAAATGGTTAAATCTTGTCATCTGGACCAGTTTCTTTAAGTAAGAAACATTTCGTCCCCCATCCAGAGGACTTCCTCAGTCTATGGCCTGCCAACTAGATCTGTCCCAAACGTCACTTTCACTACTGTGTTTCAAACCAAGTTCCCGTTGGAATCTCAAAAGTAGGCTTTTAACACATGCAAAACATATCCATCCAAAACAATCAATCATCATGTACAACAATCAAATGTTTTAGGCCCGATGGCCAACTTGATACTCACAGAAACAACCTCAAGACAACCAAGGCCAAAGTGGTTCAGAAAAAGTGTTGTAAGCTCAATCATCCATGTAGATAACAACAAAAAAGTTTAAATTGTGTCATCTGGACCAGTTTCTTTAATGATAATAATCATCTATGATGATTTATTGTTTTGGATGGGTGTGTTTTTCATTCATTCAACCTTTATTTAAACGGATAAATCACATTGAGCCTAAAAAACTCATTTACAAGTGAGACCTGTTTGGACAGACAAAAAAGTGGTAAACTGGACACGTAAGAGTTGGAGGCGAAAAAATTCCTATCAAACTTTTTTTTTCCTGCCTGAGAGAAAACCCCCCGCTACTATTAAAAAAACACCTTGCACAAACAAGCACATAGTGACATAGACATTCTTCAGAGGGGGGTGGAGGCGAGAGCGGTCCTCATGATCATAGATGCTCTCCAGGGCACTATAAGAGTTCTGATAAGGATGGAATAATCAGCCAGTTTCCTCCGGTGAGATCCATAAACATTCTCGAGGTATGTCGAGGAATGGCCAAGAATAACGTCTATGAGAATCCAAGAGTCCTGAAATGACTACACAAGTTTATTCAGCTGGTTTCTTCTGGTTATCAGTTGGAAATTCCTCAGGGAGGGGGCGGTGAATGTCAGATCACATTTTCTCCAGGCGAATTCAGATAAGATGATCTTTGTAGATGAACAGATGCTCAGATATATTCATCAATTAACACGGATTCCTCATTTTTCTGAACTGAATAAAACGTGCATTGAATTTAATGAAATGCAAACGTGAGACGTCATTTATATTTGACCCATCAAAATGAATGCGGTCATTTATTTACAGAATCAAAGTTTAACATCAAACATTTACATTAATTTGGCAAATTATGAAAATAACAACATAAGCAATCAATCAGGAAAAATCATACGGCCATGATTTTTCCGTTGCGTCACCACAGACATTTATGAAAACTGTACAATTATGATCTTTTACCCACACGGATGTGGATGAGCACTTTACACAGACATTTCTAAAATATCTGGAAGAATATCTACTTGATAGAAGAGTTTAAAGATGGGAAAGAAGTTTAGAGGGAGTAAGATGAAGTTTAGAGGGAGTGTTGACAGAACGGCACTCTCCGGGCTTTCTTCAGCTTTTCCTTACAGTACACTTAGGTGGTGAAATCGACTCTTTTACCTGGAGATGTCTCAGGCGAGATTCCGTTTAACGCACCCATTCAGCGTCTCCGTAGGATGCTGTTACTCGTCCGGAGTAGCGGCGAGATTCTGTCGATTCTGTCCCTCACAGCTCACCTCAGTGGAAAATGTTATAATCCCATGAAACTCGGAAGAGCTCTGTTGTCATGTCAGGATCTTCCCGGCTCCCAGAACTGGGCTTCTCCGCACAGAACTGAACAGAACTGAACTCAACCGAACCGAGTAGAACCCTCACAGAACTGGTTAGACCAGGAAGTACCGACATTTTAAAGAGCTCTTTTCCCGGTTCATCTGGGAGTATTCCCATTGGCCAGAACCGACCAGACGGGGTGTGTTTTGTGACGTAAAAGGTTAGAATGCAGCAAGAATTGTTATGGAACAGATCAGAAATGTTCTCACAGACAGAGAGAGTTTTGTTTTGGCGAGTTTCAGAAACAGGTGCCAAAACCCCCTCTGTTGACGTCTGAGAGGGTATAAACAAGACAGTTGTTCCAACGCATGTCTGATTCTTCCTGACCCTGGAACGCACACTTGCATGAGAATTAAAAATCATTACACAGTTAATAAAATTGATTAGTTCACTGCAACATCTAAAATGGTTTGAACTAAGACACTTTGATTATCAACATCTGTAAAATAGTAATAATAAAAAAGAGAGTGTTCTTTCACTTGATTATCAAGAAAGAGAGTCTCAGGATGGGTGAACCTGTATTTCTGGATTCAAATCAATGAAATGACAGTTCCTGTCCCACAAGGTTCTTAAGGTCAAGAGTTTTGACCTTAGGCTTAGTCTTGACCCCAGATTAAGTTCACTACATCTTCAAGGCCAGTCAGGGGAGCCAAATTCAAATAAACACACAGTTGTTTTGGGGACAGGCAGAACTTAATGACATCTACCTTGAGTCTGTGTTGGTCCACTCGGTTCCAAAATGTCCAAATTACATGGCCACACCGAATGGAACGTGACTGAGTAAAATCCCCAAGATCTGATTCATTCTGCCCAAAGCATCTGAGTCTGGGTACTCGAGACACGAACCAAGCCATCATAAAGGCAAGCAGCGTGATCGGGTCCTAATTTGGTGCCGACGACTTTCTTGATTGATTGATAAAACCAGCAACCAGCTGAATCCAAAAAGCAGGAACCAGTTATCGAAAATCCAATTAAATATGTATCCTTAAAATCCACCAGTGGCAGCAGAGATAGACACATCATCAAGTATTCCAAGTCGATGAGATATCCAGCTGCGTGCATGCCAACAGTGTTGCATGTGTTAAAAGCCTACTTTTGAGATTCCAACAGGAGGTTGGCTTGAAACACAGCAGTGAAGGCTACATATGGAACAGATGTAGTTGGCAGGCTGTAGACTGAGGAAGTCCTTTGGATGGAGGACAAAATGTTTCTCACTTTAAAAAACTGGTCCAGATGACACGATTTAATCTGTTTTGTTGTTATCTACCTGGATGATTGAGTTTACAACCCTTATACTGACATAATGTTCAGATCACAATGACACAAAATCAAATAAGGGATTAAAATACATTAAGATTACAATCTGCATAAAACCAGATAACACACAATGGTGTTTGAAAGTTTGTTAAGCCTTTTAGAATGTTCTCTATTTCTGCATAAGTATGACTTAAAACATCAGATTTTCACACAAGTCCTAAAAGTAGATAAAGAGAACCCAGTTAAACAAATGAGACAAAAATATTATACTTGATCATTTATTTATTGAGGGTTAGCAGATCACTACGTTTGTATTGCGTGGTTGTCATGATGTGGAGTCTCAGCTGAGCTGCTAATCTCAGCTCTTCATCCGAAAGTGGCGGAGCTGCATGGGTGGTTGGGGATTTGTTAGGTGGGGCACTCAGTTCAGTTGACAGGGTGGGGCACCCTCCTTGAATAATGGTAGTGGAACACTGTATATTGTTTCCATCTTTACCCATGTAGTTGGATGTAGGATTGTGTGTTTTATTTTAAGAGACTAATCAAATATGTTATCTTTCTGTTAGGTCTCTACTTGAAAGCTCAGACACCATTTCCATCGACACTAATGTGGTTTCCTCTCAGGAGTTTGGATGTCTTCTGGACATGGTGTACACAGGAAAGTTACCTCTGGGCAAACACAATGTCAATCACATTGTGGCCGCTGCAGAGAGCCTGCAGATGTTTGACTTAGCTGTAGGTTTCAGAAACGTCCTCACCACCCTGGTGAACCATCAGGCTACAGATAATTCAACACAAACCACCATCAATGCCAGAAGTAACAACCCAGAAGGTTCTGCTTTATCGAGCAAGGATGACTGCACTTCAGTCAAGTTGGATATAAAAGCTGAGATGAAGAAGAAACACCATCTCGATGGTAAAGACGATGTACTGGAGCCGACATGTAAAAGAACCTATGATGAGCTGTCAAACTCTTCAGGTCTGTTCCTGCAGGTGAACTCATCAAAATCCTGTTGTTGGTAACACAGTGCCTGGAAAAATTGCTCATAACACTTAAACTGTACATTTGTCACATGATAACCACAAACTTCAAAGTATTTTACTGACATGTAGCAAACCAACGCAGAGTAGTGCAGAAATGTGAATTGAAAGGAAAGTTGTACATTGTTTTCAAAACTTTGTAGACTACATTGAATAGAGTGACTGTGAACAGTAATCCTTCTCTTCCATAAAGGCCAAATGTGTGGAGTTCACAAATAATAATTGTCCTGATGCCCTTACCCAGCCTGTCAGTTTAGTTGGATGCCCATGTCTTGGAAGGATTCCATTTGTGTTATACTCTTTCCATTTTCAGATTGCGCAGAGCTTTGTGAAAATTTTTAATTTTGGAATATTGTATTTATTTTTTTCATTTTCATTTAGCTTTTATACAGGTAGTCTCATTGAGCCACCATAACTAATTTTCAAGAGAGACCTGTTCAAGGTGCAGATGGGGGTTAAGGGCCTTGCTCAAGGGCCCAGGGTGGGGCGAATGAGGGTGGGGGCAGGTGTGGGTGCTTCACCTACTCCACCCACATTTTTGATGTTGTCTGTACCGGGCCTTGAACCGGCGATCTTCCAATCACAGGCCCACCTTCTCTAACCTCTGTGCCACCACTCCCCATTTATAACCTAACCCTGCTTAACACTTCTTAACAACTTTACCTCAGACCTGTCTGATATCTTCCTTGGTCTTCATGATGCTGTTTGATCACTAATGTCCTGCAACAAGCTTCTGAGGCCTCCATAAATGTTGGGATTTATATAAATCACACAAGTGGACTTTCTGTACTAATAAGGTGACTTCTGAAGGCAACTGGTTGTAGTGGACAAGTTAAATATATCAAATATAGGAGGTAAATACCATTTTTTATTAGTCCATTAATTTAAAAGCCATGAATCATTTATCCTTCTACTTTACATATACTGTATGCTCTGCATTATGGTGGTCTATCATATATAATCCCAGTAAAATGCTTTGAGTTTTGTGATTGTAATGGGACAAAATTTGGAAAGTTACTACTTTTCAAGGCACTGAATGTTTTGAAAACATAAATAATCTAAGTTATTCTGATTCTTGAAATGTTGCACTTTGAGATTTACGAATGTAAAGTGACCTACAAATTGAATGTGTTATTATTATTTATTCATCCATTATCTTCCGCTTGTTCTGAAGTCAGGTTGCGGGGGCAGCAACTTGAGCAGGGAGGTCAAGACGGCTCTTTCCACAGCTACCTCTTCCAGTTCTTCTGGGAGGACTCCACAAGGCTTTCCCAGGACAACCAAGAGACATAGTCTCTTCAGCATGTCCTGGGTCTTCCCCGGGGTCTCCCCCCAGTCAGACATACCTGAAACACCTCCCAAGAGAGGCACCCAGGAAGCATCCTTACCAGATGCCTGAACCACCTCAACTGGCTCCTCTCAACGTGGAGGAGCAGCAGTGGTTCTACTTGTCTCTCCTGGATAACTGAACTTTTCACCCTTTTTCTAAGGGAGAGTCCAGCTACCCTGTGTAGGAAACTCATATCAACCACCTGTATCCGTAATCTCGTTCTTTCGGTCACTACTCAGAGTTCATAGCCATGGTAGGAACGTAAACCAACTGGTAAACGGAGAGCTTTGAATTACAGCTCAGTTCCCTCTTTACCACAACAAATCATTTCACAGTTTGCAATACTGCAGATGCTGCACCAATCCGTATGACAAGCTCATGCTCCAGTCTTCCCTCACTTGTGAACAAATCCCTGAGATAGTTGAACTCTGCCACTTTAGGCAAAACCTCACCCTCGGCGGCTGTGGCTAAGTGGTTAGAGCAGTCATCCTCCAGCACAAGAGTTGGGGGTTCGATTACACCAGCAGTCACATGCCAAAGTGTCCCTAGGCATGACACTGTACCCCTCATTGCCTCTGATGTGTGTCCCATTTGATGTATGAATGTGATAAAGCACTGATTAGTCTCTGTATATAGTAGAGTGTTGTATGAATGGGTAAATAAGGCACAGATTGTAGTGTAAAGAGCTTTGAGTATCTTGATAAGATGGAAAGGCGCTATACACAGGTGCTGGTCATAAAATTAGAATATCATGAAAAAGATGATTTATTTCAGTAATTCCATTCAAAAAGTGAAACTTGTATATTATGTTCATTACACACAGACTGATAGCATTTTAAATAGTAAATTTATTGTAAATTTTTTGAGATACTGAATTTGTGGTTTTCATTAGTTGTCAGTTGTAATAATCAACATTAAAAGAAATAAACATTTGAAATATATCAGTCTGTGTGTAATAAATGAAGATAATATACAAGTTTCACTTTTTGAATGGAATTACTGAAATAAATCAACTTTTTCACAATATTCTAATTTTATGACCAGCACCTGTAAGTACAGTCCATTTACAATTTACCCTCGACTGAAAAGAGAGCAATCCACCCTTTTTCGACTGACGACCACGGCCTCAGATTTGGATGTCCTGATTCTTATCCAGCCACTTCACACTTGGCTGCGAACTGCTCCAGTGAGAGCTGAAGATCATGGCATGATGATGTCAACAGGACCACATCATCAGCAAATAGCAGAGATGGACTTTTGAGGCCACCTAACCAGACTCCCTCCGCCCCCTGACTGCACCGAGTAATTCTGTCCATAAATGTTATGAACAGAATTGGTGACAACAGGCAACGCTGGCTGAGTCCAACTCCCACCCTGAAGGGGTTTGATTTACTACCGACAATGTGAACCAAACTCTCGCACCGCTTGTATAGGGACCTAAGAGCCTGTAGCAACGGGCCCCCAATCCCATACTCATGGAGCACCCCCCACAGTGTACCCCGAGGAACACGATTTAACACCTTCTCCAAGTCCACAAAACACATGTAGACTGGATTGGCAAACTCCCATGACCCCTCGAGGCCCCTAGTGTATGTATCCTTTATTTAACCAGGAAAAATAACTCATTGAGATTAAAAAACTCTTTTCCAAGAGTGACTTGGCAAAGACAGCAGTATAAAACATACAACAAGTAAGTAAGAGTAAAGGGCTGCCTCCGGAGTCCCACCAGCCAATAAGGCCCAATAGGACTCCTTCTTCACCTCCCTAACCAGGGGTGTCCACCACTGAGTTTGTGGATGGCCACCACAAGAAGCACCGACAACCTTGCGGCCAAAGCTCAAGGCAGCCATCTGAACAAATGAGGTGTGGAACATGGCACACTCAGACTCGATGTCCCCCGCCTCAGCTGGGATGCAGTTAAAGCTCTCAAGGGGTGTGAGTTGAAGATTTTTCTGATGGGTTCTTCTGCCAGGCATTCCCTGCAAACCCTCAGTACCTGTTTGGGTCTACTGGGTCAGTCCAGCATCTTCCCCCACCATCTGACCCAACTCACTACCAGGTGGTGATCACTTGACAGCTCGGCTCCTCTCTTCACTCGATTATTCACTTCACCTGTTGTTGTTGTTGGTGCTGCTGCTGCTACATCAATCATACCATATTTCATAAATTCCAATGTACTACCTGAATATGGACAGCTGGTCTCAATGTGTATGTACATGTAGGGTGGCTGTGGCTGAGTGGTTAGAGCAGTCGTCCTCCAATGCAAGAGTTGGGCGTTTGAATCCACCAGCAGTCACATGCCAAAGTGTCCCTGGGCAAGACACTGAACCCCTCATTACCGCCGATGTGTGTCCCATCAGTGTATGAATGTGATAAAGCTCTGATTAGTCTCTTTAGAATGATTTGTTCAATTAGTTTTGTAGAGATCTAGTAGAGTGCTGTATGAATGGGTAAATGAGGACACAGATTGTTGTAAAGAGCTTTGAGTATCTTGATTAGATAGAAAGGTGCTATATAAGTACAGTCCATTTACCATTTACCATTTATATTCAGGGCTCAAAGAGGCCACATCCTCCAGCAGTGTAATGGGAGAAACCAACATGTCAGCAGCCACAGTATCCACAGCTCCTGCTCCTGATCTGCGGCAGCATTTGTCTGAAGCGGTGCAGCTCCTCAACAGCATGCCATCTGTCCTGGAGATGCTGAGCCAGGCAGCACAGAGCAGTTTGGATGAACAGGACAGAAAGGTAGAACTAAACTGTCTTTCAGTTAAATATTAAAAAAAAATAAATAAAATTAATTCATTTTTATTGTTAAATGTAAATTATTGTCTATTTGGTCATGATCAATGATGTAAACCAAATACTTTTTCCGACAGGAATTGGCATATTGTTTTGTGGTTTTCCCTGTATATTGATTTACAGTAGTCCCTTGTTGATCGCGGGTGTTCCGTACACTGCCCACCCGCAATAAGTGAAAAATCACAAAGTAAGGAGACAGTAGTCCAAGTCCAAGTACAGTAAACATTGTCTTGACATGTGCCAGGCTGCAATCACACTCATCACCTGTTACTCCCAATCTCCTTCCTTAAATAAACAATTTAAATTTAAATGCTGTAAAAAAATTAAATAAACAATCCAATTTATTAAAATTTTTACATTATTTAAATTTAAATTGTAGAGAAGAGAAGCGCAGCAGGACATCAAAGTGTTAACCCTTCACGCAGCTCTGCAGCGCGGAATCAGAAGTACCGTAATTCTTGGGCTACAGATCATACCTGTCTCTAAGCCACACTTATTAAATATAAGATAAATCACAGTTTTGTATATAAATAAGGTGCTCCGGTTATTTAGCCGCAGGCATCCACCGTTCATCGTCGGGATCTGTGCCCCCAGACTGCTTTGTCAATGCGCAGCTTTCTTCTTGTAGTACAAGAATCAGCTAGCAGATGGCATTTCACAGAATATAGCTTGCTTTCAACACATGTTCAGACTGCAAGATTGTCACAAGTCTTCATGAAGCTTCACTGTCTGACTCATGGCTACAACCATTATACCTTCAAAATGAACACAATAACTATCTGAGCACTGGACAGAGCAGTGCCAAACACCCACGTAACAGAAATTATTTTAAAATTATTTTCTGGTATATATTACCCAGAAGTCTTATTGAGGTCATGTGGCCAGTAGTCAAAGTGGTAGAAGTACCGGTAAAATGTGGTAAATATTCATTAAATTATTACCATTGATTTTTGTTGGTAAACACTTTAGTTAAAAACTGCTGTTTTTAAATGTGCTTTCTAAATAAATGGACTATACTTACAGATCCTTCTCAAAAAATTAGCATATTGTAATGAACTATATCTGTTGATATTATTCATAAATTAAACGGATTCTTTCATTTTTCTGGACTGAGTAATATCGTGCCTTGAATGATTAAATGTGACGTGAGACGTTAATTTTCTTTGACCCATCAAAATGAATGTGGTCATTTATTAACAGAATCAAAGTTTAACATCAAACATTGTACACGTGATTATTCTGATTGAAGCAATAACACAGCTTAATTACAACAGACATTTATGAAAATATCTGGATGATTTACTGGCAAGATAGAAGAGTTTTAAAGATGGGAAATGAAGGAGTTTAAATGGAGAGGGAAAGATGGATGAGGGAATATGTCTATTATAACCAGAAACGACACGCTCCTTTGGACCCAGCTTAACCCACGGTACACTTCGCAGTTGAAGATCGACTCTTTACCTTTGCAGACGATAGTTCGGCCTCGGTGTAGAGTTCTCTTTCAACGCTTTCCAGCGTCTCCGTAAGGATAGCAGAGATCTCAGGAGTCATGAGATCATCCCTGAACAGACTTCCTCATTGTTCAGAGCTTCCGTCGGGTAGCTCCACAGCGAGACGTCGTGGCATCGACGGACTCTGATCATTCCCTGGTTGACCTTTTTTGTTGTTATATACCTGGATGACTGAGAAAACAAACTTTGTGTTTTTGAAACCATTAGTGAAAAGGCCAGACTTCAGGGGTATCTGAGGCAGGCTTGAAACACAAGAGTCAGGGTGGCTTCTGGGTAATACCAGATGGCTAGGCCTCAGACTGACGAAGCCTCTTGGATGAGGGGCGAAACGTTTCTTTTTAACAAAAAAAACGAAGTCCAGATGACATGATTCAACCTTTTTTGTTGTTATATACCTGAATGACTGAGAAAACAAACTTTGTGTCTCTGGATGAACTTAATTTTGTGTTTCTGGACTCAAATCAATGAAATAACAGTTCTTGTCCCAGAAAGGCCCTCAGGGCCAGATTTGACCTGAGGCCTAGTTCACTACAATATTGTGATAAAGGTCATTATTTTCCATAATAAAAATGAAACTTTCATATATTTCAGATTCATTGCACACCAACTGAAATATTTCAGGTCTTTAATTGTTTTAATACTGATGTTTATGGTATACAGCTCATGAAAACCCAAAATGCCTGTCCCAAAAAATTAGCATATTTCATCCCACCAATGAAAGAAAAGTGTTTTTAATACAAAAAACGCCAACCTTCAAATAATCATGTTCAGTTATGCACTCAATACTTGGTCGGGAATCCTTTTGCATAAATGACTGTTTCAATGCGGCGTGGCATGGAGGCAATCAGCCTGTGGCACTGCTGAGGTGTTATGGAGGCCCAGGATGCTTCAATAGCGGCCTTAAGCTCATCCAGAGTGTTGGGTCTTGCGTCTCTCAACTTTCTCTTCACAATATCCCACAGGTTCTCTATGGGGTTCAGGTCAGGAGAGTTGGCAGGCCAATTGAGCACAGTAATACCATGGTCAGTAAACCATTTACCAGTGGTTTTGGCACTGTGAGCAGGTGCCAGGTCGTGCTGAAAAATGAAATCTTCATGTCCATAAAGCTTTTCAGCAGATGGAAGCATGAAGTGCTCCAAAATCTGATAGCTAGCTGCATTGACCCTGCCCTTGATAAAACACAGTGGACCAACACCAGCAGCTGACATGGCACCCCAGACCATCACTGACTGTGGGTGCTTCACACTGGACTTGTGGCATTTTGGCATTTCCTTCTCCCCAGTCTTCCTCCAGACTCTGGCACCTTGATTTCCAAATGACATGCAAAATTTGCTTTCATCTGAAAAAAGTACTTTGGACCACTGAGCAGCAGTCCAGTGCTGCTTCTTTTTAGCCCAGGTCAGGCGCTTCTGCCACTGTTTCTGGTCCATTTTCTTCCGCTTACCCGGGGTCGGGTCGCAGGGGTAGCAGCCTAAGTAGGGAGGCCCAGACTTCCCTCTCCCCAGCCACTTGGGCCAGCTCTTCCAGGGGAATCCCGAGGCGTTCCCAGGCCAGCCGAGAAACATAGTCCCTCCAGCGTGTCCTGGGTCTTCCTCTGGGCCTCCTTCCGGTGGGACGTGTCCGGAACACCTCACCAGGGAGGCGTCCAGAAGGCATCCTAAACAGATGCCCAAGCCACCTCAACTGGCTCCTCTCGACGTGGAGAAGCAGCGGCTCTACTCCGAGTCCCTCCCGGATGATCGAGCTTCTCACCCTGTCTCTAAGGGAGAGCCCAGACACCCTGCGGAGAAAACTCATTTCGGCCGCTTGTATCCGAGATCTCATTCTTTCGGTCACAACCCAAAGCTCGTGACCATAGATGAGGGTGGGAACGTAGATCGATCGGTAAATTGAGAGCTTCGCCTTTTGACTCAGCTCTCTCTTCACCACGACAGACCTGTACAGCGCCCGCTTCACTGCAGACGCTGCACCTATCCGCCTATCGATCTCACGCTCCATTTTTCCCTCATTCGTGAACAAGACCCCAAGATACTTGAACTCCTCCACTTGGGGTAGGACCTCCTCCCTGACCTGGAGAGGGCACTCTACCCTTTTCAGGCTCAAGACCATGGCCTCGGATTTGGAGGGACTGATCTTAAAAAAAAATTAAAAATCTCCCAATAAAATAATATTAGGTGACATGGCAGACAGTTGAGAAAGAAAGGCAGAAAATTCATTAAAAAAATCTTTGTGAGGTCTTGGGGGGTGATAAACAGTGGCAATGATGGTGGGGGTGGGTTCAGACAGTTTAAACATAATGCTCTCAAAAGAGCTGACCTCAGGAACACTCACAGGCAAAACCTTCCAACTCTCGCGATGAATTATCGCGAGACCACTCCCGCGACCGGAGCTGCGGGGTTGAGAGATGTAAACGAAGCCAGGTGGCGTGGAGTCATTGAGTTGTGAAAAGTCCAGAGGTTGTTGCCAAGTTTCGGTCAAACAGAGAAAGTCAAGCTTATGGTCGGTGAGGAGATCTTGGATGTGATGTCCTTTGTCCTTGAGAGAACGGATGTTGAGCAGACCAAAGTTGACAGACGTGGAGTTAGCAGATGGGTTTGCTGACCTGGCTAGGCTGGCTAACATGTTGCGGTCTGAAGACCAGGTGGCTTTCCTGGGAGCTCGACGGTTGTTGGTCCAAAATGAGTGGATGGGTTTTGACCTGTCGAGCTGGAAGTTCCGGCGAGACCCACGGTGGATGTATCTCCGGCAGGGCAGGAAAGCGATGTCTGGGTGGAGACGCAGCATCACCGGCTAAGGATTGTGCTGGTGCCAACGCAGCCGAAGAAGTTCATCAGCGGAGTATTTTAGAGCTGCCACAGGTTCAGTGAGGAGTGACAGGAGAGTCCATACAAGTAGAAACCAGGCGTAAAAATGACTGATCCACATCGTGAGGCAAAGGAGTCAAATGAGGGCATGAAGCTGGTCGGTGTTTGACAGGTAAGCCAATATCACTGACTTGATAGCACACAATCACAGTGTGGTAAAAGCTGGATTGAAGGCAGGCAAATGTAGTAACCGTCGATTAGTGATCACAAGACCGTTAAAAAATTTGCAGAAAAGGAAATAAAATGTCTAAAGTTTACCGACCAGCAGCGGCAGCAAAACGCGCCAGCGTCCACTCATCAAGGATCACCTGTTTGGCAAGTCTGTGATCCACCTGCAGGTGGAGTCAGGTACATAGAGCAGGGAGAGCTTGTCTTGGAGCAGAGCAGGGAGGATGGTGTTAAATGCAGAGCTGAAGTCCACGAACAGGATCCTGGCGTAGGTTCCTGGGGAGTCCAGGTGTTGCAGGATGAAGTGGAGAGCCAGGTTTATTGCGTCATCTACAGACCTGTTGGCCCTGTAGGCAAACTGCAGGGGGTCCAGGAGGGGGTTGGTGATGGACTTGAGGTGAGG